CAGAATTTGCTGGCTGGGGAATTCTGGGAGTCAAAGTCCACGCATCTTAAAGTTGCCAAGGTTGAGGAACACTGCTCTATATAACCAGACCACCTCAATGAACTTCTTTGTATCATCAGCATATGAAAGTACACGTCCATTCTCCTTATCACAGGCATTCCTTATATGTATCCATAAAACATCAAACAACCAAAGGTACATTGTACATCCATGAACTATTATTTTAAGTATTCCATTTATGCTCATGCGTGCTTTACTTCCATCATATACCACTCTTATCTCAATCAGTTAAGTTACAATAAAGTTTCTCTCTCCTTTGTATATTTACTTGTTTAAAGTAAAGATATATTTACTTCACTACTTTCAAGGCATAGTTTTATACAGAGTAGCACTTCTGGTTGCATTTAGTGACAGTGTTAATTCTATGACAATTCTATAAACAGTAATATAATTATGTTGCCTAATGTTGAATGACTCCATGTTCTTATCTTAACCAAAACAAAAAACCCACCTTATTTACTCCTAGCATCAGACAATATTTTTTTACTTAAACATTTAAAGTAATTATGTTAAAAAACCTAGCATCTACTTCCAGAAAGGGACGTACTGATGCTGAGATTGAAGCCATCTTTACAAAGTATGACCAAGATGGAGATCAAGAATTGACTGAGTTGGAGCATCAGCAAATGAGAGATGATTTAGAGAAAGAGAGGGTGAGCTTTGCATCAGATGGCATGGTTGCATTCTGGAAAAGGGAAAAAAAGTTATTGGTTAATCTGCACTGCTATTCTATCAGAAAGAAATATTTATGACTATGAATGCATTACAGAATCCTGGAATTTCTTTACTTCAGAATTTTGCTTTTTTATTTCAGAGAAGCATTTTTACCTAGTTCTGTTTACTAAGTTTGTACAGTCTAATTCTATTGCTGATGAAGGCTTTTGGCCAGTGATGCAACAACAGAACACCATATTTGGTTTAGATAGGAAATTCTTTGCTCTTCCTGAATTGTAGTAGTATTGGGTAAATACTACTACTAGTATACTAGTAGTACTGGGTAAATACTACTATTGAATTAGGTAAGCCACTATTTACCTTGAAAGAACCACAAAAATATTCTCAATTAGTCATGTACGTTTCCATTGATTGCAAATATGACACACTGATTGTAGGAGTAAGAAAGAGTCAAATTCTAATAGTTTTGTTTGTTTTCACCAAGGAGGACTTAGAGCTAGACAGAAGTTCTCTAAACCGTCCACTCAGTGGCCGTAGCTTTCCACGAAGCCTTGATGATTCAGAAGAAGATGACGATGATGACAGTGGACACAGCTCCAGAAGAAGAGGCAGCAGCTCCAGTGGTGTTTCATATGAGGAGTTTCAAGTGTTCGTGTTCACAATTTTTGTTTCTGTCAAATCCCACTTTATTCATTCTAAAATACAGAATTATGTCAGGAACTCATGCTTACACTAACTCTCCCTCCATACAAATCTGCTTTCCCATTACCCTGGCTGAGAGCAGCTCTCTAGAGTGGACCTCAGGTTACTTCAGAATTTCTTATCCAAGATTCCACTTGATTCATGAACATGGATGTCCCTAACAAAAGTAGTTGATGAAAGGTTACTTGAACTGATTCTTTGGAGGAGAGATTTAAAAGAGAACATGTTGTTCATACTGTTCTTGAAACCTTAACTGTATCCAAATGCATTTTGTTTTCAGTTTGGTGCGTCGAGTGGACCGCATGGAACATTCCATAGGCAGCATTGTTTCTAAGATTGATGCTGTCATTGTCAAGCTGGAAACCATGGAGAGAGTTAAACTAAAAAGGAAAGAGGTGTTGGGCAGGCTGCTTGATGGAGTTACAGAGGTAAATTTACTTATGCTGGAAAAAGGCAAATTGTTCTATATTTATCTTGCAAAGTTGCTATTTTATATTTAATTTCTTCAGATGGAGGAATGCTTTTAATTGATTATGTGCCATCAAGTCATTGTCAACTCTTAGACAGCACGTAGATTTATTTCATGACAATCTGTCCCTAACCTGGTCTTTCAAGTCTTCCAGTGGTGCACCCATCACCACTGTAAATGAGTCCATAGCTACCACAATAATGTTAAATAATTCATAGCAGATTATCCTATCAGAATTAAACTATTCTGATTATTTGAACTATAAAGAATAATTTTAAAATATGTATTAATTTTTATTGCACTAAAAGAGAGTTTAGCCATTTCAGCGTGATCAGACACTGTGGTACTTCTGCTTAGGATGAAAGGTTGGGTTGTGGCAATGAAGTGCACAGAGATCAGATGGAGAGACTTGTACGAGAAGAACTGGATCGCTGGGAATCTGATGATGCTGCATCCCAAGTAAGCCATCGATTGGGAACTCCAGTGGGATTCAACAGCCATGGGCGGGCCAGGAATTCCCGCCCTTCGTCCTCACAGTCCACAGAAGGCATTGATGGAGGAGGAGGAGAAAATAGGGGTAGCAACATGCACGTCTAGTAGCATTTTTATTTGCTCAAAATATTTTCCACAAGCAATGAATTAACTAAATGACAAGATGCCTTGGGACATGGCTGTGGTTTTATAGAATGAGATACAGGAAACTATCATGTTCTTGCCTGGCTTGGCTTTTAAAAACCAGACTTTCTTTTTTTAAATGCACTTGGTTTCTGTTCCAGCCACTTTGACTAGAAGGGCACATGTTTCTCCACTTTGCTAGAAAAAATAGGTGAGCTAGTAAATTTATTTTTCAGCTCTAGAATGTAAGGTGGCAGTGCTTTGCACATTTACCTGACAATAAGACATATTGGACCCTGGGACATACTTTTAAATAAATGTGCATAAAATACACCATCAGTAGCTGTTTTATATGTACAAATCAGACATGTATGATTTTCTTCTCCCTGTACTCTTCCCTTTCTTTTTAAAAAAGTAGTCTGTAATCCATTGTCTGAAAAATGATACATACAGTAGTAATATCAGTGTTTGGCTAATGGAATTAGCTTATCATCATTTAAATATGATGGATTTGTCTTTTAATCAACTTACCAAAAAGGAATTCCTGTTTTGACAAAAGCCTATTTCACATGGTTATTGGAAAAATAACCTTTATTATTCTTAAAGCTCCTTTGAGAAAAAAATGTAGGACACAATTTAGCAATGTTAACCATCTCTTGGATGGAAATGCATGATTATAGGAAATTTTCCCATAATGGCCTATTGTTCTGAACATGCCACTTACAATTGTCCTTGTGAAACTATGTATTGGAAAAAGGGTAATACGGAGTATAATCTTCATAAGACCATAAAACAGGGAACTGATTAAATATATTTTGAAAACATTTGGGAAAATAATTTCAGTAAAAAAAAATAAAAGCACTAAATTAAATAAGCTGTTCTAACAGTGAAACTGGATAGCAAAAAGAACAGCGTTTAGCGGGGAGTTTCTGCAAGGCTTATATTCTTGTATTTGATCACTTATCTTAAACATGAAGTCAAAACCAGAGAGGTTGGTGGACGGGGCAGAAGTGCAGGTCAGATTGTCTGAGAACTGGAAGAATTGCATGTGTTGTGTTTCAAAAAGTTACAAGTACACATATGACTTCTGGGGACAGACAGTGAGGACCAGTTATGTTCTATAGATACTTCATCTTATGGTGCTTCTGATGTTCAGGGCAGGATGGAAAAGAGCAACTTGGGTTACTTAATGTAGTGCCAAGCATAGCTTTGTAAAACAGTTGTATCTCTAGCTTTTGACATTTTCCATGCTTTTGGTGTTGAGGTAGAGTGGGAAACTGCCAGATGGCTTATTATGCTTGTTTTTAAGTCATATCTTCCTATTCTTTTTAACAACCAACACAGCAGTAGTGTTTCATGTAAAGAAATACTGTAATATGAAAACCAAATGTTTGCATTCATAATCATATTAGCTTATATTTCTGTAACATGTTGTTACATAATAACAAACTTCATTTTGAAGTGCATTAAGATTTCATGGTATAGCCATGCGTATTGACAATGTACACATACATTTAAAGTATGACAGCAAAGATGCTTGAGTATCTGTTATTTTGCACACTGTAAATATATCCTTACAAAGTGCCAATGTATTTCTAGGATAATGTTGCCTTAGCAAAGAATATAAATGTTAATTTTAAATGTTTCACATAATGATAAAAATGTACAAGTCAACAACTTCCTACCTAATAAAGATTTTGTGTTTTGAAGTAGTTTGCATGTGGTTTAGAAGGGGCTGGATGTGGGCTTTGCTTCCATTTCAAGGGAATGGATTTTTTTTTTTACGCTATTCTTAAGTGCCATCTAACTAATTGCTTGTGAAATAAAATAAAAGGTTTATAATCTTACACTTTTATTTGCTTTAATATTTCTGGTCATAGGCATATTTTTATTTATTTAATATGTGAAATATGTCCATTTCACTGTTTACAATCTAAATTGTAAGGATAACTTTCCTTCTGTGGTTCTTTTTGGAAGTTATACAGAAACTTTAAATAAAAGCAGATGTTACTAGTGGTTTCTGTTTTAGATTCTGTAACACATAAAAAGATACTGAAGTTGGTTGAAAGCTTGTAGACAACATACCTACAACATATCTGATCATATGTGGAGTCCTTGGTGTTCTCTGAGCTTGGTGGTTTTCTTGCAGACATTTCATTACTCATCTAGGTAACATCTTCAGTGCTAGAAGGGAGTGGAGTTTGCTCTCTGTTTATATACAGTAGTTTCCTCTGTCAGGGAGGAGCCAAGATGGTGACACACTAGCAGCTCCTGAAATAAGCTCCCAGCTTGTGACTGGCATCATCCCTTCTGGTTTAGTCCTTCGGCCCAAAAATGCCATCCAGAGGCAAGAAAAGAACCCAGATACTGGGGCCCATAAATTCAATAAAGCAGAGAAACAGATAGGATTGACTTCTACCTCCCCACCACAGAGACAACAAAAAACATAACAGGTCCACAGCTGATTTGCCCTGTCAGTGTTGGTGGGAGTGTTGTTTTCTCCTTAGTAGTTCCTTGATTAGGCTGTTGTTTACTGCTTGATTGTCTGAGTTGGTAGTTCCTGGATTAGGGTATTGTTTACTGCTTGATTGTTTGTCTGGTGTTAATTCTGGTGTTAATTCCTGTTCATCTGGGTATTGATTGCTGACAAGGAGATGTTCTGGTCTTTTTAGTTCCTTTTTGCTTTCTATTGTCTCTTTGGAAAGGTGTGTAAATGTTGCTTATCTCTGTGTGCCTGTTGATGGGTGACTTGTCTGAATACCAAGTTTCCAGGAATTCCCTCCCATTTTTGGATTTAGCTTGATCTAAGATCATCTAGCACTGAAGATGTTACCTAGACAGGTAACAAAATGTCTGCAAGAAAACAACCAAGCTCAGAGAACACCAAGAACTCCACAGTTCAACCCTGAGCTACATATATTCTCTTCTACTGATCATATGTACCAGATCAGCAGATTAAATGTTGTTTTGTCTCCCATGGTTACTTGATCACATAGGCTAAAAATTAGAAAATTCCTTTTCTAATTCTGTCATATAAATTTAAAAATATTATGACCTATATATTTTATTTATATATCAAATTTGTCACTGCCCATCTCACCAAAAAGCGAATCTGGGAGGTTTATATAGGATTGTATATAGGAATGTATGCTAAATACAATATAGCTGTCTACATGAAATGGAAAACATCTCGTATTTCAAGCTTGGAACAAAACCACTCTACCCAAAATATTCCATCAGAGTTTTATGTTACCTTTGTTTCAACATGGAAACCCCCCCCCCCCCCCCCAAAAAAAATGGCTGGAGCATTCCTTATTCTAGTGAAATAAAACTTAAATGTTTTGACTGTTCCAGCCACACCGAACAATAGGAAATGAAGACAAAATCCTTGTTCCTAGTTTTTAGCCTAGCACAAGTGGGGTACATTCCATGCTGGTTGCTATTAGATACCCACCTTTAGAAAAACTGGTCAACCCACCACCCCACCCCACCAGGATAGAAGGAAAACAGAAATTGGAATTCCACATATATTCTCTTCTACTGATCATATGTACCAGATCAGCAGATTAAATGTTTTGTCTCCCATGGGTACTTGATCACATAGGCTAAAGGTTATCTTTTAGTTCACTAAATAAACTGTTAGACATGTTTACCAAAATATTACGATTGATCTCTTTCATCAATGCTCTTTCAATTAGCACTTAAAAGGTCAGAATTTAGCAGGAGTTGCTTTACCTGGAAATTACAGGTAGAAGACGCAAACCAGCCAGATGAACTGAGCTCTTTGCTCAGGTTTGGGTTTTGTCTTTGTTTTTTTACTCTTTTTAACTATTTTTAAACAAGCTGTTAACAGTTTGCACTGTAGCTGTGCGCCTTACAGTTTGTGCATCAATAAACCGAACTTTATGATACAGTAGCCCTAAACAAACTATAGTACTACCCCAGGCCTGGTTCTACCACCAGGCAGCAAAATACATTCTGGAGCTCATAGCACAGAGGAAGGAATCACAGCCAGAGCTGAATTAACAGATTAAACAGACACCTAGCACTACACAAGAAAAAAAAAAAAGCAAAATCATCTCACTCAGCATTTCAAAGCAGCAGAGTGTTCAGTCTTCACATTTTAAAATGCACTCAAAAAAGGCACACCAGCATTTGTACACAAAAAGCCGAATTAACCCATATCAACACAGAGGCTTTGCGTTTTAAAAGGCGTCCCGAAACTCACTGTCAATAGAATACAAAGGAATGCAAAACGTTTTTTTCAAAATAAACAGGTTTTGTTTCAAGGTCAGAGCCCAGAACAAAAGTTGAAACAGGTGTTGTTTCAAGCTCAGAATACTCAAAGAACCGAATATTTTGCACATCCCTGATGCAATCAATAAAACAAGTCAGTACTCTCATAGGACTTATCCTCACATTCCATTTACCATGAAATAATGCCTTGATACCTGATTTTAAGTGACACATGTCCTTATGACATTCCCTGTCGTTGAGACCATCTAAATAACTTCAGTTGTCCTACTGTTAAGTGGAATTTTCCTTTCCCAATAGAAATCTAGGCATATGGACAATCTGTAGTGCCTCACTAATGATACCAACAATACAGTCAGGGGCCAGGATCTACCAGCTCCTATTGGCCACTTAAAACTGCTATGGGGACACCATCTAGGGGCTGGGGGTTACCCTCTATGTCCTTTTCTTCGTGGACTGCAAGACATCAGAATAGACACATCAGACGGAATTTTGAGGGGGTTAATGTTATCTTTTTTTTTTGTTTTAACACAAAACGGTATGCTTAAACTGGCCCACAGTACAGCAATTGTAATTCCATAATTATTACTAAAAATGAATAGGGATGAATCAACAAGGTATTTAACGAGCTGTATATGTTACAAGTATTACATGTTTATTATAAAAGTACAATGCAGTGTTAAATAGAGATCGTCTCTTAACTAAGTATACTTCTTTAGAAATTTCAGTTTCAGGTATGCAATTATGAGGAAAATCAATGTCATACATATAAGTGCAACGTGATTCTGCCACATGTCCCAAGAAGATGTGCCAATGCCTTGCATGTCCAGGTACTCTTCACCAGTACATCTAAAAACATGGGTTAAACATTTCATATCAGAACAACACAATTTTTTATTTACCTTTTTCTTTTTTTGCTGTGACTTCTTATTCAATTCTTCTTTACAATTGAAAAAAAGGAACTGGGGAATTTCTTTCCTGAACATTATTTTAACAACAGAAATATTTTTTTTAAAGAAAAGAAAACTGGAAGCACTCAGCATTTTGCAATGCAGTTCGAGAATTAAAATATATGATAGGAATATACTCATGAAAAAAATGTCCCAAAATGTATTATGTTATGGAACCCTGTTGCAAAATGGTATTGAATGGAAAACTCTAAACAAAAATGCATGTTTGTAGCAGTATGCATCGAAAGGCAAGTGCATCTAAGTGCAAACACAACACTTCCACCAGAAATACCAAAATGGAGTATTTTTTGCATTTGCAGAACAAATACATTTTTATTCAGATTTTCCAAAATACACATTTTAATTTTTGCTGAACAACACTGAAACATGCTAAGAATGCTTCCCAGGTTGTTTTCATGTGTGTGCTCTTTGCTTTGGCGGAAGTCCCAGCAGGAGTGCGGTGCACATACACGTTCAGAGTCAACTGCTGAAAGCATCAGCCTCCCCAAGGATGCAGCAACTTTAATGCTCCAAGGAACAGTGCTTTGTTCAATATGTTTTGTAAGCCACCCTTCCAAATGCTTTGCCCAGTCAAGTTTGCAACAGTTCCATGTCTTATTCACTAGTAAGCCCTGAATATTTTTTTATGTAAACATACCTCCTCCAAAAAAAGAACAAAGCCATGAATAATAATTAAAGAAACTTGGGAATTTTTGTCTGTTTTAGTTTGCTAGAAGGTGCAACAGTTTGCAATGTGACAGATGCTTACATTGTAAACGAAGTAGTAGAAACACATGTTACGTTGACCCCTTCTGGGCTATCATTGCAAAATTTGAGTCCAGTGAATTCGTTGATTTGCAAAGCCTTTGAGAAATAGACAAATAATGGAATTACTTGCTTATATTATCTGAAAAGTTTTCCATGTGGTTGGACCTAAAAGGCCCAAAATGACAGAAATGACAGTGCTTTGCTAAAGTTAAGGCAACATCAGAATTTTTAATTCTTAATAGGTAGAGACATATTGAGGTCTTGATTTGTTGATGTCCTAATTAAATTATTATGCTCTCCCGTGTAGTATCCAGTTCAAATTTACAAATTGACAGCAATTTCTGGAGGAGCTTTAGAGGTCACATGTAGAAAATAAGATGAGGATCCACAGCTTCAGTACTACCACAGATTCTGGTTCCCTTCAGGTTTCTATGGAAATCTGTAGTGTCACAGGATATCTTGCACAGCCCAAAGGTAGCACCTGGTTATCCTTTCTCTAGCACTAGTATAAAATGACCTCCTGTTATGCTTCACTTACCTCTAGTCTAGCAGTAGAAATCTTCACTTATCACTTACCTCTTCTAGTTCTCACTGAAAACAGAAACGCTGAGTACACGTATATAACACACTAGGCCATAAACTATTTTACAAGCCACAATGGTTCACACAACAAATCTAACCAAAGCCAAACGAAATAAAGCCAGATGGCTTAGTGTGTTATGTGAATCGTGACACTGATCCATGCCTCTTTTGAAACCTCCAAAGAGGCACTGCAACGGGGCATCAAAACTAGTGGATCCATTGCATATTTTGCTCTAATCACAGTTAATTCAACAATTATAGAGCTGGAAGGGATCCTCTGAGGCTTCTTGGCCCATCACAAAATCAGTAGCACCATGTAGGGCTATGTAGGGGGAGAGCCATGTTAGTTATGGTGGTAAAAAAAAATCAGAGTCTGGTAACACCCTTTCTGATTAACAAATTGTATTAAAAGACATAAGCTTTTGTGAGCTACAGCTCACGTAATCAGATGCAGAAAGTGGCTAGACTGATGTGGGGTTTAAATTGGGGGAAGGGGGGAAGGGAGGGGAAGACAGGTTGATTATGCAGATACAAGTTACCCATGAGTCAGATTTCAAGTATCTTATCAATTAACATTTGTAATGGGACGCGGTGGCGCAGCGGCTTAATGACGCTGAAAGTTGCCAGCCAGAAATGGTTGACGC